GACAAAAACGGTAATACAATGTAATATCTTAATCTATAGGTTGAATTCAGTTTAGAAGCATGTAAAGGATGTTATTCTGTGTGCATATTTCCATAATTCCTTGGTTCCCAACTTTTCCTCATCTTCGCTTCCTCCTCTTCTTCAATCAATGATCACTATAATCTACGAAGTCTGAGTGGAAAACTAGTATGCCTAGTTAGGAACTCACTGTAGCCCTAATGGGGGAATAGGATTACTATTAAGCAATACGTATATTGGCTTGCCATCAATATAATATAAGACATGGACAATAATTTCGCCCTTGATCATCCAGCAACCACTTCCGCTACGGCCAAGTCCCCTATCCCAGATTACCAAGTGCTACCACAAACACAATTTGTCGCATGACAGTAAAAAGAAATAGAAAAGGAAATATTACATTTTACTTTCCTGATAATGAAGATGGGTCAATTTAAGTCTATGTAATAACAGACATTGTTTAAATTATACTATATAACTTGTATAAACCCTGTATATTTCAAAGACAATCTGAAAACTCCAATTATTAAACCCGGCATTAAAGAACAGACATCCTTTGAGCTGAATAAGAAATGACGGATGTAACCTGCCATCTATTGGCTTTAAATTTGATTAGATCATCATTTATAAACAAAAAATGAACCGAATTGTTTAGCCAAGTAGAAAATCATTAAGTCTCATAAATCATACTGTCTGGAAGTAAATTCTGCTTCTTTCTCGAACATTTGATAGTACATTATAATGGATTGTACTAACAATCCACAAACATGGCTTCTTTTCATTGAGGATTAGCAATTACATTGATAACTATTATCATTTCTTCAGCTGCGATCTTATATACAAATATTATAATTAGAATAATAGTCTAGACATTTCAGTGTAGAAAAAGCGGATTAATTTTTTATATTACTTAATTAAGTATTTAAAAACTTGCCGGTGTGTACAGTACTAACTAAATATTTGTTGTCTGAAGTAAAATTTTGATTGTCTTCACACAACGAAAGGTTTCCGTCATTTCAGGAGGTAATTGCGTTGGTTGTACGTGGGAAACTAGTATTGTTCTTCAGAAACTAGTATTGTATCTTAGAAACTAGTTTAATATTGTAGTATTGTACTTTGGAAACTCGTACATATGGAATTAATTGCAAGCTATTACTGCCCTAGTTATTTTGATTGTAGGTACACGTATTTCTACAAGTATGTGAGGTGTACAAAAATGATCATGGACGTGGTAAAGCTCTGAATATTGTTTACTGCGAATGGGGAAATTAGCTTTAAACCTTGCACTTTTTCAGTGAAAATTGTTCATTCCAAAGAATGTCAAAGTAGCCTGCATTGCTGTCTTACATGTCTAAATATTATCTATACAATTGGGTGTCTAATTGGATATTGAACTAAAACAATAATGAAATCTTATTCAAGCTTTGTCATTGGTTGATATGTCCCAATGGCAAAGATGCGATCGAACAACCATGTGTACGTTTACGATAAGCGGGGACTAATATCTTTTTTATAAAAAGTAATGTCAAATCGAAGGACGTTTTGGAGAGTCCACGTATATTATTCTTCCTACACATTGATTGTCTCAAATCTAAAACGTGCTAGTAGTTTTTATCATCTGCCTTCAAAAGCATTTTGTTCACTAGAATAATTATGGTCGTCTTATCACTATTCCGCAAGCAAGACGAGGCGTGGTCTCCTTTTTGATGTCTTCCAGGGAGTCCACCTAACCGATATTGCCATTTAAGAATTTCACAAATAGATTTGGCATGAATTTCATAAGTCACAAATGCTACCAGTTATCTGAAATCAAAGTCTATAAATTCGTTTGTCTTAAACTGAATTACGTGGTGTTCTATGCTTCTGGTGTCGTCACCGAATGTTAATATTATTGAACAATAGGTTTTTACAAACAAGCTTTCCAATATAAAAGGCAGGTGTTAAATGAAGGAGACTAGAACAAAGGGAATTTCTATCTAACATATAGAAGGTGCTAGGAATTTTGCAGAAGAATGAGCATTACCTGGACGTTCGTTTTATTTCTATTGTACTTCTTCGACTTCCTCCTTATTTAGAAAAATAAAATAAAAACTCATATCAATATCATTTTTTGGCAAATTTTCATATGTTTTAGTCTATATGTGTGCTATTATAAATGGACTACAGAGGTGCAGCTACTATGTACAATTGTGTGTAATGTAGACGGAAGAGTACATGTAGTTTCATTGAAGACGTCAGCTGATTAATAAAAACCTGGGACGTAAACCTGGTTCCGTCACTGGAATGAGCCACTGGAAAATTAGTAATTAAAAAAGTATATGAAAAGGTCAGCCCGGGAAATTGTTAATCAAATGTGGAACACAAATTTCAAAGGCAATTGTTTTGGTCTATTTTTATAAAAAACACGTCCAAATTTAATGAAGCAAACAGACATCAATAAGATGAAAAGGGAAAGTTTAAGATTAAATTTAAAAGAAATATTCCCAAAGGTTAATTTATTTTTCATAACAAATCTTAACAAGCTCTTGAACTCAGAAAAGTCGAAAATCAAAAGATTTAATATTGTTAGTAACTTTTTGAGTTCTTCTTCTATGTTCAACAAAGATGCAAAGGTGGAATACTTTTGCAACAACTTAGCGAACGGCAACAAATCAGGAACAATTTAAGCTTAGTTACACTGTATGATACTATGGTTATTTATGTCTGCTTTCCATAATGAAAAATACAGTAAATTCATGATATGAAGACTGTTAAAATATGTACCAATCACAAATACACATTTCATAATAATTATGCAAGAAGGATGGGCGTCAGATTTATGGAATCATTTGATAATTCGGAAAAGTACGAAAACCAAGGAAGCTTTCAAATTGTTTCATAGTCAGTCAGGAAGTGAGTTCGGAGCTTAATTCCTTAGGACCACTTCTTTTGAGATAAAGAAAAACTCAATTCGAGTTTTGTAAGACCATGATAGCTTTAAATGCGTCCTAGTCCTTAAAGTGATACTACGTCTTAGAATTAACATAAAATTTAAGAATTTTAAACTTGGCGAATAAGAGTCAGTAGATATATCTGGTGTCATAAATAACATAACAGGATCCTTATATAATCCGATAAGTCCAAAAAAAACTTAGTAATTATCCATAAATATGCAAGTAACTATTGAAAAATATCAAGATTAAGCGTTTTTCAATGATTACTTATGAATTTTCCCGATTTTACAGGGATTCTGTTGTCACTTTATGACACCAGGTAAGCAACTGATGAATATATACTCATATTGATATTTCGAGAACTTAAATTTTATGTTACATTGTATCACTTTAAAGCAGACACAACAAATTGTTTTTTTTCTAAACTAGGCCTACTCCTACTGTCCTACTTACGATTTGAGCACTATATACAGTTAAAATATAATTACTTGGCAACAGTCTTTAATTACTAATCAAAACTTTGGTTTAGCCTCATGTAACAGTCTTTCAAGATTAAAGAGGATACAGCGTCGATTAACATTTTAAAAAGTAATACAGTAAGTAAAACTAAGCAAGTAATTAGAGGACTGTTACCATGTAAGAGAGATATTTACCTAATTGGCTAGTTTCTGATATATTTGTAGTACATTTTGTACTTGCTCTATGATATCGACATAATCTTCCCGATTTAGACGAGTAGTAACAGTAGGTGACTGAAAAATATACAGAGAACCTCTTGTATAATTATTATCACAGTATAATAAGTTTCATATTCTAGCCAATTAAATAAAGTGTTAGAAAGTCAAAATGGAATATTCCCTTTAATGATTTTGAAAATAGGTATATTATTCGCCGTTTTCAAATACCTTACATATAAAAAGGTTTACAAAATCGTACAAATTAAGACAAACGGTCCACAGTGAAAATCTCTTGCATTCTGTCTCTAGTTGCCGAATAAAATCAAGATTAAGCATCTATTAAAGAAAGAAAGAAACAACTGTATTTACAAGGATAACAACTTAGGTTCATATAGAAGATTGTAGCTCTTAACCATAAATATATGAAATTTGTATATTTATAATGGATTATGCAGCAAGGAAATGGTCGGTATGTGGTTTTTTAAAACTTGTTGATCAGAATTATTTCACAAAATCAATTTCCATATTCATTTCCGAAAGCGAAAGAAACAAATCATTTTATGAAATAATGATTATTAAAAATAAAATACAAGTATATAGACAGGAAAGACGGGATAAGGAAACGAATGCGACAGGGGAAACGGTGAGACAAAAAATATAATAAGCCTAAAACATTTTGAATGCATCACGCTGTGCTATCTGTTATCAGATTTGTGTCGAGAATCACTAGAGATATCACTGTTCAGATTCTAGATATCACTGTTCAGATTCTGGACTTCACTGTTCAAACTCGAGATTTCACTGTTCAGATTCCTAGATTTCACTGTTCAGATTCCTAGATTTCCCAGTTCAGATTCAAGATCTCACTGTTCAGATTCTGGACTTAACTATTACGATTTTTAATATTTTATTGTTCATATTTTAGACTCCATCGTTTCAGATTTTAGATTTCACTGTTCAGATTTTAGACCTCACTGTTTAGAAGTTCACTATTCAGATTCTATATTTAATTGTTCGGATTTTAGTAAGCATATTTTTGTTAGTTTATGAATTATAAAAAAAGTAAACTGACTTCAGGTAAAAGTGTAACATATCAAAACCCTGACATTACAAGGTCTCTTAATAGTACCATACATTGTGGTTTGTCAAAAATCTAGATGTATTGCATCCTTTTTTTTCTTGTAAATATTTATTCAACAATTATACAATACATTACAATATATGAAAATATATAACGTAGTGATTCTGTAATTACGTTTTATCTTATAATGAGAGATTCAGTAAATACGTTGTGTCTTATAATGAGTGATTCAGTAAATACGTTGTGTCTTATAATGAATGATTCGGTAAATACTTTGTGTCTAATAATGAATTATTCGGTAAATACGTTTGGTCTTATAATGAATGATTCGGTAAATACTTTGTGTCTTATAATGAGTGATTCGGTAAATTCGTTGTGTCTTATAATGAGTGATTCAGTAAATACGTTGTGTCCTATAATGAGTGATTCAGTAAATACGTTGTGTCTTATAATGAGTGATTCAGTAAATACGTTGTGTCTTATAATGAGTGATTCGGTAAATACGTTGTGTCTTATAATGAGTGATTCGGTAAATTCGTTGTGTCTTATAATGAGTGATTCAGTAAATACGTTGTGTCTTATAATGAGTGATTCAGTAAATACGTTGTGTCTTTTAATGAGTGATTCGGTAAATTCGTTGTGTCTTATAATGAGAGATTCAGTAAATACGTTGTGTCTTATAATGAGTGATTCAGTAAATACGTTGTGTCTTATAATGAGTGATTCAGTAAATACGTTGTGCCTTATAATGAGTGATTCGGTAAATTCGTTGTGTCTTATTATGCATGATTCGGTAAATATCTTCTTTGAGTGACAGTATTTTTACCACTAAAAAACGACTGCATTTTATTTTACTTTTCGATAGGTTTCGTCGGCAATAAAGAATTGCATTAGGTCTTGTCAAATTCTGTCGACAATTGTGCTTTCTAGAATATTCAAAAGCTAAACATAGAACACGCTTTGTAGAACATGGGCAATAACTCACAATGAATATAATATATATATTCGATTTCATGTGGTCGCAAGTACAAGTACTAGATTTCACGAAAAGATTAGTAATATTCTAACTATGGCAATTAATAATCTGAACTTTCAAGGGGTCATTTAACTTGAATACTGAATCAATTTAGGAATTCGTAAAGTCTTTCGCTCTCAGAATATACAAGTTGCTATGTCAATCTGGGACCCCGTGTACTCGCAGTGATTCGTTTGAACTATCTGTCTATTATCTTTATCTTACGGAGGAAATAAACTAAACTTGTGAGAGAGTATTGTCATGCAGTAGACATACTGATAACAGACGATTGAAGGCGATAACACGTAACCTAGCCTTCATTAACATTTACTTTACTGTCTTAATCAGTTTAATTATTGCTGAAATACGGCAGAAATGAAAAATGTAGCAACAACAACAAAGGAACCTATTGCTTGATCTGAAATGTTGATAGAACATCTAGAACAGCAGCAGTCTAGAGTCGATGGAATGGAGGTTAATTAAGTATGATTATCATTAAAGGAGATTACCTAAAATACGTAATTTAATATCCATATAAACCTAATTCCTTGCAGGTGGTTAACTAAATATAATCCTAATCAAGATTTCACACTATTAATATGTTATTGGAACTGAGAACATAACATTTGAAGTTGAACTGTCGTGGATATGACCAATAGGACGATCCTGTGATGTCAAACCTTTATCAAAAGGCCAAGAACAATGAAATACTGTTGAAAAAGAAAGAAACTTAACTTCCACCACACAAGCTGAATTTGTAAAAGCCTTTTGATAGATGGTTGACAGTGATTGCATTTGCTCCCCTAGAAAAATGGTTTGTAAATTTCTTATTTCTTACAAATTATGTATTTACACGTATGTCCCTAAAAATATGTGTCTGAATGCACCTTAATTTTTTAATTTATACATGACACAAAATGTCGTAATCGGAATTAATCTGCAGATTCAAGTCAACATATCCAATAGTAACTATGTAAATACCAATAGGCATATAGGCATGTTCTTCAAAGGTACTTATCCCCATCTTTTTAACAGCCCCCATGCTCCAAGAATAACAGTTACAACAATAGAATTATTCTTTTTTTAAAATCATACTTTATGATAATTGTGTGCTGAGTTTATAACATCAATAAATACTCTCGTAAGATTCTTTATTGGTTTTGTTAAAAGGTTTTACACATTTGTATTTTTTACTTTTTATCAGAGGGATAAAATTTAACATTGTGATGGTTAAAATCTCCCAATGGTTCCATCATACAACTGGAATCAATGTTATACCTTGATAAGTGAAGATTTGTTTATCATACAACTTTTAAAAAATCTGCAGAACTAATTACTAAGGGAATTATATTAGGAAAATACACAAATACCTTGGGCAATAATAATCTACAGAATTAACTTGATAATACGAAACTGTCTCATAGGAAAACACACGTAAAAATTGAGAACATACAACGACAGGAAAAGAACGATTTAAAAACTTGAGTTTAAGTGAGAGTAAGTGTCGATTTTATCAATACAACACAATATATGTTCTTAAAAGAACGAGTTCGCCATTTTAGGGGGTTAAGTTTGGTCTTAAATATGCAAGTAATCTTCAAAATTACTAGAAATGAGAAAAGGCTAGTCGTCATTTTAACTTTTAAACACGAATAAGTTTGGACACACATGGATTTGAGAGCTTAAATTTTGACGGTGATCTGTAAACATTATTATTGATTATAACCATATAAATCGCCACTTATCCTCACTTTAAGCATCACATGGGAAGTGAAAAGCAATGTAAGAAAAATGATATTTACCTTTTCTAAAATTATCATTAAAACCAGCATAAATTAGCGGATTGACAGCACTATTGGTGTGAGCAAGGTAACGAGCAAAATATTGAAAATTAATAAACCATTCTTTTAGCTGAAAAGAATGAACATTTCAAATTAAATCTTACACGACACGGGAAGCTATAACAAAATTCCATTCGGTTATATTGCTTTTAAAATAATGAAATTGGTTTGAAATCGAAAAGTTATTCAACCAATCTAAATTGTTATCTGAAAGCACCATTTTAATATCCGACATGATGAATACTCAAACTGGGAATTATCCAATAGATAAGCGAGATATAATTAAGCCCTAGGTACTCAGATAAGAATAATAATTTCAATCACAGGAAAAGTTTAACTGAGAACATCTGTCTTGGGACGTACATATTTGTCACTCGAGGCAGCTGAAAGCCGGTAATTTTACCTAATCCAATTGTCTATGACATTCTATATAAAATGAAGACTACAACCCAGTGATGTGTCACCTTGTGTAAGGTTTACATTGTAGACTGGTAGTAGATATAGGAAATTCACAATTCAATGTCTCTTCTATTCATGTTTTGATATGTATATATGTTATGTTAGTTTCAGTGATATAGCCGCCATAATTATCCAAACGGTCATTCACAGACTTTACTACATAGGTAATTTGACTTTGAAAACTGAGTATTTTCCATAGTTAATTTTTTTTTTTATTAAACTTGGTGTTTAGGTAGATGTGTTTTTGAGATTGAAACAGAGCTCTTGACCTCCATACTGTACATGTACTTCCTTTGACAAGGTGTATATGCCAAAAGAGAAGTTCGTGTTGAAATTGGAGAAGCTTTCCAGAACTGAAAACCATGCCGAAATCAGGTGCTTTGAAAATTGTGTACCATGTTACGCCAATTTATAAGATAGCTTGCCAGGGCTCATCCATGGGTGGTAATGAACAATTTCACCAAATTTCGTCAAAATATTATGCCTTCTTGAGTGTTGATAAACTAAAACTTAAACACGTTTTCAAAAACAAGGACAATAACTCGATTCTTCTAATTTTCAATAGGTTTCATTCTTGGGTGATTACAAACACTCACACCAAGTTTTATCAAAATGCATCAAGAATTGTGCCATCTAGACTGTTTACGAGCATTTAAAAAAACAAGGGCAATAATGCATACTAAATATTTTTCGATTTTTCTGGTTTTTAATAGGGTTCATCCCTGGGCGATTACAAACAATTATATCAAGTTTCGTCAAAGTCAGTCAAGAATTGTGCCTTCTAGAATACACCAGCTTCTTAAACAGCGATTATTCTCGATACTAACGTTATTGACATGATACCACAGCATAAATTGGACAGTGATAAAGATGTAACTGGAATTAAGTTCCATCAACATGTAGAACTAAAATTAAACCAGTCCATTATCTCTACTTGTGATCCAGGCTAGTGCTTCTATAAGAGATTATCTCTTTTATAACCCTATAACAGTATATCCATCTTAAGGTCTCTGTTATAGCTATAATGTAATCAGCAGATGTCCAGGAAATAATAACTTATATAAATAATATCCCAATACTATTAAATAATATCTCATATCTCATATATGTGTTTAATTAAAGCTATTCTTGTCATTAATGTTAGATTTGTCCCACTTCGCCATATTAGTTTTATAACTTCTTTTATATAAGAATAAGTTTTGTTTTCTCGTGATTGATATGGCGGTTGAAAATGTATACTTTTGTTAGGTATTCATTTGTATTTTCTTCTAAAACACCACCACAAGATACAATTGTTCGTGGTTATTTTCTTGCAAATTTTTCTTGCAAAACTTAATAAAGTTATTGTTCCCCATTTAAAACATAATTTTCATATATGAAAACATGTACATGCAATGGCAAAGAGAAAAAATTTTTACACTTTAAACGAATAACAATCAATGCATATTTTTCAGTCGACCCAAATGTTCCCATAAACAAGTTCAAAACGATTATTTCTAGTTTCTTGTTTCATATATCTGGCATGGTATACGCCCACTAGAAGCTGTTTAAAATGATAATCGGGAGTCTTGTGACTAAAATATGAATTTTCTCCACTTAAAGATGACTTTATTGATATATAAATTTACTGTCAGTTATTTATGAGTTTTTCAAAACATTTTTCAAAATCAATAACCAAATACATCAAATCAAATTTTGAAATCACTCTGCTCCGACCTCTTAAGTTTTAAAGATATATTATCAGTGAAGGGCAATAACTCAAAACCGTTTATCGAAAAATCGTCAAATTCGAACTGGAACAAGATCTAATGACTATAAATGATCACACCAAATTCAATTAAAATCAGATAAAAACTATTGCTTCTATTGTGTTCACAATCAAATTTTGAAGCGTTTTTTTTTTAAAAAAACGACCTCATCAATATAAATAATTACACCAAAATTCATATATATCTTATAAAAAGAAGTCTCTGTTGCGATCACAAACA